CTCTCTCTCTCTCTCTCCTCTCTCTCCTCTCTCTCTCTCTCTCTCTCTCTCTCTCTCTCTCTCCTCTCCTCTTCTCTCTCTCTCTCTCTCTCTCTCTCTCCTCTCTCTCTCTCTCTCTCTCCTCTCTCTCTCTCTCTCTCTCTCTCTCTCTCTCTCTCTTCTCTCTCTCTCTCTCTCTCTCTCTCTCTCTCTCTCTCTCTCTCTCTCTCTCTCTCTCTCTCTCTCTCTCTCTCTCCCTCTCTCTCTCTCTCTCTCTCTCTCTCTCTCTCACTCTCTCTCTCTCTCTCTCTCTCTCTCTCTCTCTCTCTCTCTCTCTCTCTCTCTCTCTCTCTCTCTCTCTCTCTCTCTCTCTCTCTCTCTCTCTCTCTCTCTCTCTCTCTCTCTCTCTCTCTCTCTCTCTCTCTCTCTCTCTCTCCCCTCATTCTAGAACACATACACCCCCCCCCCCCCACACACACACACACGTGCACCCCCCCCCCCCCACCCCCGCACACACACACACGCACCCCATCCACCCATTGACCATTATTTTGACAATTTGACGCCCATCGCCGGGGGCGATGATAGCAATGCTACAGCAAAAGCCATAGCAACTTGTTCTGGTATTTCACCATTCAACAGCTTGCAAGGCTGAAGAATTGACCACCCAATCGAACGCGCAACATCTCGATTGGAAATCCCTGCACATACATGATACCACATCATCATATGGGACACTCCTCCTCCACCCACGCATACATGCACAAACACACGTACATTCGTTGCTGCCCCCTAACTCTTGCCCCCCCCCCCCCCCCCCCTCAGCTCACAATCTGTAAGAGCACGTCTGTGAAGTCGAACACAATCATTAGCCAGTTTACTCGGAAACTCCCCCCCCCCCCCCCCACACAAACATACATGCATAATAATTATGCACCAGAGTGTGTGCTGTGCCGGTATAACAGGAGCCAGGTAAAAACCTTTCTCCGTCATACCACACACAATGTTAACCCATGCACAATGCCAGTGATTGACATTCATGTGAATCACTCCACGTGTTCTTCACAAACAAACATACAGTCTGCATACCGGTGCACTGCAAACAGCCAACTGTCAGTGTAATTCAGGAAACACAGAAGAGACAAGGAAATGGAGTGAAAACATCGTGTCAGCACAAGACACTCAAAATAATATTTTTGTACTGCAGGGAGTGTTATCAGCATGGTAGCGCTCAAGAATTGAGAAAAGATTGAAAAGTGTTTGAAAATTATCTGCTATATAGACAGGCACGACTGGCAAGGAAAGTTCATACGGTCAACTCAGTGTTTGGCCTGGGCAAGAGGAAAATGGGCTTTGCACTGCCCCGTTATAGGCAAGTAGTTAACTGTAGCGGCTGAAAAATCAAGTTTTGTACAAGAATAGAACACAGTGCTCACTGCCAGAGAGAATCTGTGCCGGGGCTGGTGCTGGCTATAACCATGGCAACTGTACATTGTCATAGTTACAATCAGAGCTATCCAATCTTCTGGAGAGCACATTCAGGATCATCTACCAGCGGCTGTAGCTCGGACACCAACCTGCTGTTATACCCATACTCTGAAGAGAAGCGGAGCACACTAAGCTTGCTACACTGGCGAACAGCCTGTACGAACTGGGCTAGTACACGTCGTTCCTCCGATCTAGGACCATACGTGAAGGAATACCCTTGGACATACAGTACACCCAGGTTCCTGTTAGAATGGAGAATTTCCAGAATGGACGTGAGCGGCACATCAGCACCGCGCTCACTGCATAACCAGGAAAGTAAAACAATCCGCAACTTCCTACATGAACTCAGCGCTCGGCAGACCAAAGCAAAGCCGTCAATGCCGACTTCATTGTGATCTAAATACACTTTCTCCAGGCTGGACGATGCGGACAAAATGGCTGATGAAAAGACATTACCATCGGTACAGTGATTCGCAGACAAAAAGAGCACACGTACATGTGTGTAGTGTGCCAAGCCATTAAGAATGCAGCGCATAGCAGTGCTGGTTAAGCTACAATAACCAAGGCACACTTCCTGCACGTCCAAACAAAAATGGGTTGTGAGGAAATGAGCAATGGCAGTGCAATCTAACAGGCTGAGGCTCAACTGACTAAATTTCAGAGAAAAGACCTGAGAGAAGAATGAACAATGGCCATTACAAGATGACGTACCTTGATACTGGCAGTGCTCTAGATAAGCTACTAACAAATCAGCTAGGCAACGGCGTTCTTCCTGGTCAACCGCAGGAGGCCGTATAGAAGCAGTAGTAGCAGCCGGGGCAGCTCCAGGTGACGATGGTGTCGATATCTCCGATGTTGCGCTTGTCATCGCATGCTGCTCACAATGCGATGCGGTTGCGGGATCCACTTTACGTACAGCCGACAGGAACACCTCTGCACTCGCCTCCGCTGCCTCGTTCTTCCATACGCTTACAAGAGTACCCAGGTACAAGTCGTCCGTCAACTCCCTGCCTCGTGGCAGAGCATTGTCGACACGCTGACGACCACGTCCTTGCCCGGCGGTGCCAACCAGCAGCTGATCGGCGAGCTCTTTCATCTTTTCAACTGACAGCGCCGATTTCAGCACCGCATGGATACGGTCCACGTCGTTGCTTTGCTTCGTTGGCTGAGAACGGCTCACAATGTCGTCGAGCAGGCGTGTATCAGTCTGGCTGCATGCACGTTGTGTACGGTCGCCGTCGCAGATTATCCGCCACAGATGCTCCATGATGGCGACTGCGGGCTTTGGCGGTGTGAGCGCGATCAGGAAACGCCAGAACATGGTCATGTGACCGCTGTAATGGCCGACTCTCCTCACCAGCCACGCAGCGTCGTTCTCGTCGTTCAGCATCTCGCTAGACACGTACCAGGCTGCCAAGAACTCCTGAATGGACAAGTGAGCAAATCGATATTGCCGGTCTTCTGTTGAGCTGGTGCTCTTGTAAGCCATCAGCAATCCTAATTCAATTGCTGGCGCGCTTAGTTGTGCCGAAATGACATCCTCCTCGTTGAACACCATCTTTTGCTGAGCTAGCATAGAGAGTGCAAAAGCAGATAGCTCCTTCAACACTTCAACCTCGTCCGTCTTGATGGTGGAAAGCGTCTTGTAGCGTTTGCCCGCACGTCGTTCCATGACACGGCGGACAAGCAACTCGTACAGTCCTGTACTGGATTCCGGCAATTTACTACCGTCTCTGTCGTCCATGAACAATTCACAAGCCAGCGCAGCAAACAGAGGTGTACTCATTAGCGACATTGTGCCCTCTTGTGAGCGGAGCTGCTCCAGCATAGCCTCGCCTTTCACACCGCCCACCACTTTCTTCACGTACGTTTCAACGTTGTCTGGTGAGAATCCAACCACCTCCACTTGCTGTTGATACTCTCCACACTGCGACAGGGTATGAGCATCAGTACATGGTCGAGACGTCACCACCACATGCATATCACCACTACGCCTTCTCAACAGTAGATCACGCATGTATTCACTGCAGTTCTCCAACTTGCACTCATCCAGCCCGTCTAGCACAATGCAAAGACGGGACTGGTTGCTGCGAAAGAACCGGGACATCTCCAGCAGCTCATCTGTCTCCACATCCAGACTGGAGAATCGACGTGCCAGCAAGTCGCACAAGCTCGTAGCAGCTTGCACCTCGGCACGCCGTAATTCCACTGCCAATACCAGATCAAACTTTCCACGCCACAGCTCACCTTTAGACCAGAGGTATTCCAGCATGATCAGAAAGATCGTGGATTTGCCACAGCCAGCGCTACCAAAAGCTAGTACATTCTTCTTGTTCTCCTCCACTGGTTTCTTGGCACGCGGCTCCAGTAAACCAGAATCAGCTACCTCATGGTCACAGCCCGGGCGTGGCGCGGCCCCCTGATTGCAAGACCGCTCGGTGGTAGCGGAGAAAATATCTTCCAGTTCAATGCCACGCTCGGCCGTAGCGACCCTTTGCGGCTGAGCCTCGGAGAACAATTTCAACTGGCGTGCTCGTTCAGAAGCAGACGAAAAGGACGATGACTCGTTACTGAAAAGTTTGGAAAGTTCGTCCTTTGTCAGCAACGTCAAGTTGACAAAAATGTCTTTCAATGGGATTTTGGCATCGCTGGCAAGGCCACCGCTAATCTGAATACCAGCCTTCTCAACTGCCTTAGCCAGCAAATCACGGGCAGTTCGGACAGAAGCTGGCAACTTCTGCTCGTCGGACGCCATGGGTCACGGGCAGGTTTGCGTCCAAGTTGCGAGGAGCACCAGGCAACAACGTCGTGCAAGGAGACGCTACAAGTATTTTTACTTTGCCTGCATGACAGATGATTGTACGAATCCTGGGTGGTCAGTGTGCGAGGAGGTGGTGACGGTACGTGTTTAGCTCGGCTGTGGCTCAATGTAGCTGAACCATCGGACCTTATTTGTCAGCTTGGATCACGTGATCCATCCAGCTGCCGCGTGCGGCAAACAGCACAAATAGCGCCAACTCTGGCCTGCGAGCGTTTGCTGCGACTAGCGCGCTAGCGCTCGTGACCTGCACAAATGCGCAAGCCAGAATGCTTTGACTTTGATGGCTTTCAGCTTCTGTTTTTTGAAAAGTAGCGCGCTCAGACCAGCTCGCTCACTCTTTTCCTCTTCCATTTTTTTAGGGCAATTGTTTTGTTTGATAGACGAAGCTTAGTTAGGGTCTCTTTGGGTTTGCAACCCGTACCCTCCTGGAAAAAATCATAGTTGCTAGACTGCGACACTTCAGACCAGGTACTATTAGAGCCGCTAATGGACGACGAGCTATTTTCCGCTATCCGGAGCTCAAGCATTTGAGCCGCTAAATGGACGAGACTCCTGGGGTAAAGGATGCAGAGAATGAGGAGAAAACACTCGTATGGAGCAGGGAGTAGGTATTGTACTACTTCCTGGTATGGAGCACTGAGAAGCGGTAAGTCTTAGGGCAATTCTTAGCCAGTAATTACTTTCTCGCCATAATTATGTTCTCGTTTTTCGTGTCTTCTGTAATGCCAGTACACTAGCAGTACGTCTACACTGTAGGCGAGAGTCCATAAGCCAGGGTGTGCAGCTCTCCATCTATGCAGCATAAACAAATTAATGAAAAATTTCCTTTGCCTAAGGGCTGAGTTCCACTGCCGCTCCGCCGCACATCATCCACGGCATGAACCGTCATCATTACGAGCTGGTCCAGCGAGGCCGCGGCTCATCACCAGCTTTCGCTTCGCTGCTTGATACAAAAAATGCAAGCCGCGGTCACGGCTTGCATTGTTTCCCGCACTTAATTGTTTTATTCGGGGGAATTTTAATTCGTTGCACAGGCCAGAACACGAGGATTTTTTTGGATTTCACGCGCAGGCAGGCTAAAGTTCATGTACCGTAAAGTCGCGGATAAAAGCCGGGCTTATAAGCACATAAGCCGCTTTCTGCATCAGGCTTTAATGCAAGCCAGGCTTGTATGCAAACCATGCTTATATGCATCACTGATATTTTTGCCAGGCTTGTATGCACATAGAAGCCAGGCTTCTACGCGCGACATGCGTAGATCTACCACTGACTACCGGTATGACGGCAGTTTTACTATGCACCGTACATAGCGCATGCACTCTTGACCTACCCGATTCGCGCTTGCATAGAAGCCAGGCTTCTACGCGCGACAGGCTTATATGCATTTGACCCGTTTGATTTTCAGGCTTCTATCCACGATGTGCTTGTATGCAAACCCGGCTTTTATCCGCGACTTTACGGTATACCCAGCTAGGCTGTATGGTAACAGTACAGCACAGTGAGTACAAAGTCATGTAATACTATGTGAGTACATCCATACCATAGAGTGAGGTGAGGTCTGCAGTAAGTGCATGTGAACATCAGCCGATGTGGGTCTAGACCCAGGATTGTCATGCAGACACGACAAGATTAGAGAATGTAGTGGGTGATCCGAGCCCAGTCGATCCAGGTCTGCCTTGCGTCGGCGACCCTCCGGAACTGATCTCCGCGTTCCATTTTCCAGGAGAACAGTAGCTTCAGTTGGGGATGGTGGTCGTCCCACAAGCAGCGACAGCATCACCACTCCTAGAGAAAACACAACCAGTTTCTCGTCGTATGCTGTTCCTACTTGTAGGCTCTCTGGCGGCATAAAATAAGGCGTACCGGGGCACCGGGTCAAAGCCGTGACGTCCGCACCTTGACTACCATGAAGAGTGCGGGCCAAACCAACATCAGCTATCTTGGCTCGCCCTGCCGTGACCAAGATGTTACGTGGTTTCAAATCGCGGTGCAAAATGTTCTTGCCGTGTAGAATGCGCAAGCCTTCTGCCACGTCGACTAAATACTGAAGGCTTTGAGCGAATGGCTCTCTTGGCTCAACTCCAATTCGATCAAATAGCGAGCCGGCCATCAGTTCTACCACTATACAGTACACGGAGATTGATTGGGAGCAATGCCGATCCCGAGGAGTCGCACAATTCTTTCATGTTGCAGTCGGCGCATGACTAGGCACTCAGTGCAGAATCGCTGCAAAAGAGCTGTACGCCCGACATTGCCCTGTTGGAGTAGAATACTATGTAAGACCTTCACAGCAACAGGGAGACCCTCCAACTCACTTGTATAAACCGTGGCATCCGAACCACGGCATATCTCGGGTTTGTTCAGGTCAACTTGGACGAATCCAAGCCAAATGGAGTCTGGGACACCAAGTCTCTCTTGGAGCTGGGTCTCAAAGTTGAACCTTGCCATTGCACTAATATAATAGTGTAACACACAATCGTCTTGCTCTCGCAACTGAGTGTTTGATTGTGTCTGCGAGTGTTCAGCACCTTGTTATGGCGTTAGACGTACACTGCATTGAGTGTGTGTGTGTGTGTGTGTGTGTGTGTGTGTGTGTGTGTGTGTGTGTGTGTGTGTGTGTGTGTGTGTGTGTGTGTGTGTGTGTGTGTGTGTGTGTGTGTGTGTGTGTGTAGTCTGTAGACTACAGTACAGACTTGTAGTGTAGTCCAGTTCCGCACTGGGTACCGTATGCATTCCCGTTCTCACCTCCCTGTTTGCAGTCTAGTAGTAGTAGTACAAATACAATGACATGTCATGGACCTTCAAGTACAGACATGAAGAGCTCTCTCTCTCTCTCTCTCTCTCTCTCTCTCTCTCTCTCTCTCTCTCTCTCTCTCTCTCTCTCTCTCTCTCTCTCTCTCTCTCGCCTCAACACTAGGTGGTGAACTTTTTGATCGCAATCGGCCACCACTGCACCAGTACCACAAACGGCGCAGCCGCATGCCGAAAACGCCCCGTTCGTAAACATTTCGGAAAGCGATCCTCCAGTACCCAGTGCAGTACTAGTAGCGCATAAAAATGAAGCTGACATGGATCATGGACAGCTAGCCTGCCTGGCTAGCTGGGCGGCCGACCACAAACTGACTGGCGAGTGGCGAGTAGGCAGATAATATTATGCCTTTATCACTCTCTTAGTATTGACTCCCATTGCTTTTCGATACCTAAGAAGTCAAATATTCCTGCATATTTCATTCCTTAGGGCTATATTGACTGCTTATATTTGACTGCTTAGGGGTTGCGCAGTTGAACTGTGCCTAGTGCAGCATTGTCACTGCATGAGTAGGTGGTGGTGCAACAGTTGTTCAATCATAAAACCGGGATTCATGAGGTTGTCGTTCTGGAATTTGAAATACGGACTGTTTGTCGTGATAAATCTAATATTGACTTCGTACTTGGTCAGTATAGGAAATAAAAATCTCGTAAAAGACCTCGGCTTCGCCTCGGGCTTTTACTCGGCTTTTATTTCCTATATTGACCTCGTACTCAGTCAATATTAGATACGTATTCTGTTGACGTCATCAAACAAGACAAACCAACAATACAAGGAACGTAACCATGGAAACTGTTGGTTGCTCCCTAGACTGAATATCGTGCTATCCACTGAGTCTGTCAGTGTCAGTGACTCGGCTTGACACTAGACGCCAGTTGACGGCTTGACGACTGTCATCCAGGGCACACGCCATACCCATTGAGCCTTCGACCGGCAAACGTGCAAGAAAGCACCAGTCCCTGTTCAATGCACAGTGTTTCGTGGAATTTATCTCTCATCAGTTGAGCTTGAGAAATACTGCGCTTGAAGAGCACCACTTTCATCGTGCTCTCCAGGCCATAACATCAAGCATTCAGAGCATGCATGGAGACAGAAACGTTAGTCGAGGTACTCCCCGTAATGGGATGATGCCAATAACGTCTTGAGCTGGACCCTCCACTTTTGCTGGGACCAGAGAAACATCGAAGTATGTAAACGCTCGGAGCAGAATAGCGAATTGCTGGCAAGCTAACACAAGTCCAGAGCATGCACTGAGGAAGTAACGTTAGTTGAGGTATTCCCCGTAATGCAACAGGCGTGGGAGTGCGAACTGCTAGCACATAATCCATTCACTGGCGGATGCGACAGAGTTCCATATAGCTGGACTGGAGTGTAATACAGTCTGAAGGGCAGGGCACTCTCATAAAAGTATTGATCCTGCCAGCGGATCAACAAGGACCAATCCTCCGGGCGGACGGGAATTCGGCAGAATGCACTTTTAACATTGAGCTTAGCAAGATACACCGGGGCGAGCACAATTGTGGAGGAAATTGTTTGGGAACGCATGTTCCGCAAGTTGCATGCTCGAAAGTCGAAAACAGCAATGACATGCTAGAGACATTGTACAGGATCTTGGAAGGCGCATGACCATGTGACTCGCGCATGCGTGCAGGTCGGGCCAGCTCGCTGGGCTGCCTGCTAACTTGCGTTAGCATGCTAACGCTCATTATGGTTTAGATCGCATTATTGTAATGGTCGCGGTTTGATTTCAAAAGACCATAGAAAGTGCGGATGGCAACCAACAGGCTCAAGGCTGTGTTGGGACTTCGTGTGCGCGACCTGAGTCAATTGTTCACTCACCATGACTAGGCATCGCATTGAGCATCGTTTGACCACTACTATATGTCACTGTTCTTAGTCGCACCGGGGGCGCATGCCCGTTTTCAGGAGACTTATCAAAACACATAAGCCCTGTGCCCTGAAGGTTAGGCCTATTGTTAGTCTGAATAGTCCTGGCTACTATCCCGCTAAGTTCATTGACTTTCTACTGAACCTGTATGTACGTGAGGAAAGTACTGTTCTGGCCTGAGCTACGGATTTCATCAACTTGGTAGAAGGTTTGTCTGTGCGGGACGATCATTTATTTTTGAGTATAGATGTGACCAGCCTTAACACCAACATCCCCAACGAGCTCGGTCACGTGGCATTGTCGTGGTATATCACACACAGGTATACAAGGTGGATGCCCCGGCCCTTCGTACACGGTTAACAACAGCATTGACTTCCTTGATGTCAGTCATTCGGAAGACTAACGAGTTCGTGTATGATAACGATTTGTTTCCGCAGATCCAAGGGACTGCTATGGGTTCGCCTGCAGCAGTGGTCTATGCCGACATTGTTATGCTGTATTTGGAGAATCGGTACATTTTGCCGATCTTAGAGGGGGAGGGGTTAGAGGTTCAGGTTTATAGACGCTTTATCAGTGACATTTTTGTTTCATTGCATGGTTGCGAAGGTCAAGTTCAGCGCGCTTTAGACAGGATTAATAAGTGTTCGGCCCTCGAGTTTGCGCATGAACTGGCACATGATGACATTGATTTCCTGGACACCACAGTTTCCCGTAGTAAGAGATACATGGCGGTGAAGCCTCATTTCAAGGTCACCAATCGTTTCCTGTATCTGCTTGCCGGTAGTGACCACCCACGTAGTATGGGTAAAGGTGTGATCACTGGGGAGTTGATCCGTATCCGTCGGTCTTCGACCCTTGACCACCACTACGAAGCTGCTGCCGAGCAGCCGAAGCAGGCTTTCCGGGCCCGTGTATACAAGAGCTCCATCTTTCATCTTTCAGACCGTACACCAGGCATGCAAGGCCGGGCCGCCCCACTTTTTTGGCCGTTTTTTGTTCTTGTTTTTTTAGCACACTGCAACAAAGCGCGATGATCGCAGCTCAGCTCAAACGTGGCAAATAATGAAGAATCCTTGTCCCCGATCCCCGATCCCGTCCCCGATCCCCATCCCCGATCCCCGTGGTTTGTTACAGAATAAAAGAGTCTTGCACCAAATGCCCGGAAATGCTTGCAATTGGCTTCAGTTTTTGACATTTTTACCGCGGAGGGCCCCCGGACCCCCTTGCATGGCCGCCCCACCTCCAAAGTCGGTGCGACGGGCCTGGCATGGATGCGCAGGGAAGGTATGTTGGTCAGATTGGCATGGGTTTGGGTTATTTGAACTTATTTCTGTAGTTGTATACAGTGTTCCTCATTGTATTTACCTGGGCCCGGCCTGCTGTCCTTCGCCCGTTGGTCTTGAGGTCCAGGTGTAATATCCCTACCATACAGTCCGGTGGCCAGCGCGGCCCGGCAAATTGTTGTTACAAGGTGGAACATCGGCAAGAGATTGCTTGCTCGTTTGCCTCATGCTCAGTGTCCTCAGGGAGTTGGTATTTTGCTTCTGTTTGGATTTTGCAGTGTCTATGGTGTCCGTAATTGAGTTTTTGTTCTGTGTCTTTTTCTGTGGTGTGTGGTCATTGTTCACACATCTTTATTTGACTTGCTTCCTGGTGTGGTGTATCCTTTTGTTTTATCATTGGTGCTGGTCTGGCTGTAGAGTTCTAGCATCCGTAGCTGCCTCAGGGGTGCCACTTTTCCCATCAGCGTCGACTAGTCCGTAGGAAAGGACCAACCAAACTGCATCCAACCATTGGTCTTGCCGAAAAGAAATTATGGCCATTGCATTCTTCTTACGGCAAAAACTTTAACTTGTTTGCTGGCTAAAGCTGAGTCTGGCAATTACATGTTAAAACTAGCAATGTGCTGTCTGAACAATAAAAAAATTCAGACAGCACATTGCTGCCCTGCCCTGCCCTGCCCTGCCCTGGCCCCTGTAGGTAAGAACTGCACAGCACTGACAGCGCCTTTCAACGGCAAGGTGACCGGAACAGGTGTCACGCCCGGCACTGGTCTCTTCTTCGCCTGCAATGTACCCTACGTACTCCAGGGCAGCGTCGTGCGCTACTGCGACGTCTCCGGAACGTGGAGCAGCGTTCCTGCTACATGCTCAAGTAAGCGGTGCCAATGCTATTGTCATGTGTTCCTAATACTTCCTAATACCTCCTATCATGTTATCATGTTATCATGCCATCATGCTATCAGGCTGGCAGGCCAAGTATTGTGTTGAATACCGTAAAGTCGCGGATAAAAGCCGGGTTTGCATACAAGCACATCACGGATAGAAGCCTGAAAATCAAACGGGTCAAATGCATATAAGCCTGCCGCGCGTAGAAGCCTGGCTTCTATGCAAGCGCGGATCGGGTAGGTCAAGAGTGTATGCGCTATGTACAGTGCATAGTAAAACTGCCGCCATACCGGTAGTCAGTGGTAGATCTACGCGTGTCGCGGGTAGAAGCCTGGCTTCTATCATGTCTATGCAAGCCCGGATCGGCCGATGTGCATACAAGCCTGGCAAAAATATCAGTGGTGCATATAAGCCTGGTTTGCATACAAGCCTGGTTTGCATTGAAGCCTGATGCAGAAACCGGCTCATGTGCTTATAAGCCCGGCTTTTATCCGCGACTTTACGGTATCTATTTGAATGATATTAAATTGCTACTGCTGTGCAAAGATAAACGAAGCATGCTCTTGTAGCAGCGTATCATTAACAATTGTCCCTTGACGGATGTGTTCATTTTCTTTCTCTTTTATCTTCAGTCCCTGATATTCCCTGCAAGTACCACGAGTTCAAGTGCGGTGGCAGTGGTGGTTGCATCTCAACCACCAAGGTCTGCGACGGTGTGTGGTATGACTGCCCGGATGGCTCCGACGAGAGCAACCACACTAGCACACGCGGCACTGCAGCACCAGGTAAGACGAGCGTGTAGAGGGTGAAATAGTTCTGTGACTCCTGCATCGCGGCTGAATGTGCATGCATGTGTCACACACTGTTGACAGGCATGCAGCCCCACTGCATGGCTTGCATGTGTATGAGTGTAGCTAGGTGTTCTGGATGCAATGGATGGTATTCACACCTCAGCCTGCCAGGCTACAGCCTATGGAGTGTGACATGGGCTGTGTGCTCAGCTGCAAGGTGATTTACAGCTGTGAAAGGTGCTAATGCAGCACCAGTGAAGTGTCAGTTGGTCTGCTACGTATGACACCTTTTTCCCCACCAAATCTTTACCAGCTGATGGCATAAAAACTGCTGTCGGTCTCTGGAGAGCTCATTGCAACTCCCTCAGTCTTCAATGATTTCCTTTCCATCTTGGTACCAAAAGACATGCTTCCTCCCTTACTGAACTCGTAAGTGGCCTTTGCTCAGCTGTTAGATGCTGGATGAATATCTTTGAAAGACAATTATTTGTGTTCTATTTCATTTGCTTTCTTGCTTGCTTTCTTGTGTGTGTGTGTGTGTGTGCGCGCGCGTGCGTGCGTGCGTGTGTGTGTGTGTGACTGTCTGACCCAGCAGACTCCACCAAATGGCTACATCCAGGGAGCCAGCATGACCAGCTATGGCAGCCAGATTGCGTTTGGCTGCTACTAGCTATACTTTCTCCAGGGACCTGCCACCCACACCTGCCAGCTGAGTGGCAAGTGGGATGGTGTACCACCCGTCTGCACATGTAAGTAACGTTACTCTCATTGATCTGCACCGCCTGTATTGTATAACTGTGTTTACTGCGTTCCTAGTTTAAATTCGTTTTTAAAAACATCTCTTTAATTCTTGCCTTATCTGTCATGGCCGCGCTTCGGCGGGTTTGTGACTAGGCTTAGATCAGTCTAGTGGCTACCCAGGTAGACGACCAATATAGTCGCCATCCAAGTTGCTAGCTCACACCTGTTTTCCGGCTCACACAAGGTAGTCGAAGGTTGAAGGGGAGCGATCAAAGATGCCTTTATTAGTTGGAAGAAGGCGGCTTTTATGTGATTTTGGTTATAGTATAATTGTGATATAATAATTAGTAGGAAATATTAGTATAGCTTCGGGGAGCTCGCTCACCCACATTACATGAAAGAGTTACAACTATGAGTGATGTCCGAGGTTATTCGTACGGCGATCGTGCGACGGAGCCTGGAGTACGCTGTCGGATGTTGCCGCAGCTAGAGCGCGCCGCCTTCGTACGGTGTCTTGATTGGGTCACCCTTCATCTTCTGCCCCGTAGGCTCTTCCCTCTCATTACCCCGTAGGGCGCTGCACGGTCAAGCCGCGACCTCTCCCAAAAAGGGATAACGGAGTCCGCAGTGCGCGAAACACTTGCAGGACCCTTTACGTCGTACGACGCGAGAAGAGGTGCCATGCTTGCTCGACTAACAAAGGTATCAGCTCCCTTGCAGGACTAAGCAGGGTCCCCTCAAGCTCAACAGTGTAGTGAGTACAATGCTGACGACTTGTACTGAAGGTGTTGCCGACGTACGACAACACTTGCGACTCTAAGCCACGAGTTGTAAGCCATGATTGCTCAACTAACGAAAGTGCCAAATCCTTCGTAGGACTAATCATGGTTCTTACAGAACTCTAGGATATTTCGGAGCCCAGCTTTTGGCTGCTGAACTCAATGCATGGTCGCTTTCACGACGAGTCTGATCCGGGTCATGACATATCCATTATGACCATGCTTAAAGACGCAGCGTCTTTTCAGAAGTATTTTGATCTTCTTTTCAGCAAACGGCCTCATTAATCTGCATCGCTTGTATTGTATACCTGTGTTTACTGCTTACTGCTTACTGCTGCTTTATTGTTCGAAGTATCAGTTTAGTTTAGTTTAAATATCTCTTATTATTATTTTTCTCACCCCACACCCCTCTACTCTGTTATCGGCCCTCTTAAAAGAGTTGTGTTCATCACTGTTGAGGCTTCCGATGGAAAATAAAAGAATACTACTACTACTACTGATGTTCTTTGCTGTGACTTCTGTGATCTACACTGGGACCATGTACGTGACTGTACTGCAATGTACAGTGCATTTCAAAACTATAGACGCGTAGGGTTTTTGAAATATTTCAAATTTGGCTGGAACTTTTTGAGAATAGTTTTCGGAATATTGCTCAGGATCGCTCCACAATTACTCTCATATAGTTTCTAAAGGATTGGATAACAGACGCCCAATTTGGAAAAATTTATGCACAAAGTGATCACAGATTTTATGTGGTATAGATGCTGGCATAACGGTTTTTGCCTAGGTACGCGTCTATAGTTTTGAAATGGACTGTAGTCAGTGCTGCTCGCGCACTGTGTGCATTTGTTGTGCTGACCCTAACCTTGACCCTAACCTTTTTTTGTGCGTACATGCAAGAAATGTTTATTTGGCATGTTCTTTTTTAAAAGTGTTGTTTCTTCGCCTGCTGAGTATAGGTAAAGATGTGATACTCTACATTTCCGTTGTTACTGATTTTTTTTGTTGACTTTTGTGTGCACAGTGGTCTCACTTGCAAGAGTGGCTTCTAGCCATATTATCGTGATGGTACCTGCCTGGCCTCTTCCAAGTTCTGCAATGGCATTTTCTTTGAGTGTCCCGACAAGACAGACGAATATCAATGCGGCACGACTGGACGTAAGTTGAAGCATGTGATCAAATCGGCATGTATCACAATGAATGCATATTGTGGAGTAAGGACATTACAAGGCCACTGCTTCTCCAGGACACTGGTTTACTTCTTCTTGGATTTCCTTACGTTGTGCTCGCAAAGTACACACAATGGCAGATGTTAATTGTTGGCATTGGTTTCCTGATGGTGTGTGCCTGTGTGTGTGTGTGTGTGTGTGTGTGTGTGTGTGTGTGTGTGTGTGTGTGTGTGTGTGTGTGCCTGTGTGTGTGTGCCTGTGTGTGTGTGCCTGTGCGTGTACGTGCCTGTGTGTACCTGTGTGTACGTGCCTGTGTGTGTGTACGTGCCTGTGACGTGTACAGCCGGTGTGTGCACACCGCTAGCTAAACCGACCAACAGCTACTCCCAGGGCACAAACTATTCTGCTGGAGGCAGCGTCGTCTTCGGCTGAAATTCCGGATACAACCTGCAGGGAAGCATTGTGCGCATCTGCCAGATTGACGGTTCCTGGAGTGGGGCAGCTGCCTTCTGTAATCGTAAGTTGATTTCAAGAGAGCCAATATATCCCTCTTGTGTAGAGAAGCTTCAGGCTTGTAGGAAGGCAGATTCTGGTGGCGTTGATCTTTCCTATTTACAGAGCATGTAATAGTCTGGGTGTTACCTGCCACTTTTCATCATCACAAATGATGATCGTGCTAATCACAGGACCCAGGACCAGTCGGGCATCTCAGCCTGAGTCCTTAGGATATATGTTATACTTGTAGGTGTATGGTTAGGGTGTTTCACCGGGTACCAGAACACTGAGTTGTTGGCATAAGCCGGTAACTTTTGTCGAGCCTGTTTTAGGCTACCACCTCCTCCAAATATACTAATATCTCTTGACTGTACGAAAGATGTGCCGAGCAGACACTTTCTTCATCTCTTGACTGCTTTGTGTGTTGTGTGTATGGGTACGTGTATCCAGCCATTCAACTGCAGTGCCAGTCTGGCTACCTGCCCTGCCTGCGTTCCAGTGGCTGTATCCTGCCATCACAGCGCTGCGACGGTGTTTGGTACGACTGTGCTGATGGCTCTGATGCACAGTACTGCCCAGGCAAGGTCACACCAGCTCCAGGTAAGCACCAGCAGCAGCACTGATAGTAGTACCATGACTTCTATTACAAGCAAAATGTAGAGCTACTGTTGACCGCTATTCACTGCTGTATCCATTTTATTACTTTGCATGGCCATGTTGAGGCAGTCTTCGCATCAATTTCCTTTAAACAATGCGTGTACTACAATGTACTCAAAACCAACGTCTGTGCCACGCACACAAACGCAAACGTTTTAGGGGTGAAACGAGTATATCGAATACTCGAGCGCTCGCTCGAAAATTCAAATGGAGTGAGTACTCGTTTCGCAAAATACTCCAAGTATCTTATGCACCGTGTACTGTATGCTTGTACATCAAGCACTTCTGTTACTCTGACCAGTACTGATAACCCATGCAAGCGTGAAATTATTACTTGTCCCTACTTACCAACAAAAGACAGTAGTTCAGACTATTTCCTGCACTAGGCTGCATGCAAGGCTACATGTGTATCAGGTGTAGTACGTTCAGTGTTACGAGAGTGTGTACAGTACATTGTTTTATGTTGTCAGTAAAATACTCGTACTCGCTCAAATACTCGCTCGTTTTTTCAAAGAGTACTCAAGTCCTCAATTTTGGCACTCGTTTCACCCCTAGGCCAAACATGCATGCACTGAATGCCTCTGCTCTGTGCACTCTGTGCTTGTGCAGGTCAAACCGACTGCCGGGCCCTGTCACCACCGGCACTGGGCTCAATGACCGTGAACGGCTTGATGTTCAGCAACACGACCACGTTTGTGTGCACATCTTCCTATGTCCTTTTGGGCGTGCTTGTGAAATCAACGGTCAGTGGAGCAGTGTGCAGCCAACTTGCGTCCGTAAGTACATGTACCAATGCTCGACTGGCTTGTATTATGCATTCCCGTTCATCCCACCGCTCATACTGTCAAATGCTGCCTCTTCTCATTCACAATGGCATGGGTCACAGTAGATAGGCCTGGTGCAGGTATTGCCAGTTCCTTGCTTGCTGCAGTACAGTATGACATATTAACTTAGCTGGTAAGCAGTGCATGTGTGCATGGCAAGTGTTAATTTTGTCCATTGCTTCCCAACCCATGTGTAGTGACGACTGCTGCTCTGAGTGCGGCCAGTGACGAGCTAGTCAAGGACTCCGTCTCAGAACGCATGACACAAACATGTAAGCCTAGTATTGCAGCATATTTAAGAGTTTTGCCAGAACAATTTCCTTGTGGCAATTTCTCCTAATGCTGACTGCTGAAAATGTTGTGTCCTTCACAACTAGTCTCTTTGTTCTAAGAAGTCTGCCTCTTTCATCGATTCGTGTTTACCTAGCTGCGTTAGGCTATTAGTAGCCTATTACCTGTTGTGCAATGGGGCTGGCCTAAAAGCTGCTCGCTCAACAGCGGTGTTGCATGGTATAGAGAGAGACGGCAAGCCGCCTCGGCATATTGCGGATAGAGCTTTTAGTAGAAGGGAAAAGGACATATGGATACGAGTTATGAGTAACTGTCCACCACTGTAACTAGATACCACAGTTAAAAAAAAGTCTCGCACCTGACTTGGTCACGTTGTGCCTGAAGGTCACTAAGACCCGGCCATATACGGTGGAGCCGTCGCAGTTCCATCTACTGTCGACGAAACATGCCCGGTATTGGCTATTCCGGTACATGACAGCCCATGCCTGTAGCACTAAGCCTGTGTTCACTTTTGCCAAAGGGATCCACCTTACTCGGCCTTATTTAAATAAGATACTCTGTCACGCTCTCAACTGTTATCAGGTTAGCTCCCGCTCCATGCCCATTGTTGGAGCGACAGTCCTGGAGTCCAGAGTTGCAAGTGAGATGGTGATACGGCAAGCAGACGGTGGCAAAGGACGGCTTAAAAGCTCTACATCTGGCAAGTGGCCGGCATACCACACCAATGGACATCGGACCAGTACACGTAGAGTAGCATCTCTACGTGACAGGGTATGAGCGCAAGTGAGTTCTTATGCTCTGCTAATGTGCATTGATTCTGTGACTATAGTTGGTGTACAGATCTCATCACATGTGCCTTAGGTGGGATTTGCTATTGTCACTGTAAAATTCAGCCCTAACAAACAGTGTGATGGATGAATTTGACTCCAGGTATCTGCTTTTGGGAGTGCCATGTATGCATGTCTGGCGTGCTGCTGCTATAATGTTGTGGCACTAGCATTTTGGTGCGATGGACTGTTCTTGTAACGGTGTACCTACCCACTTGCTATTGCCGGATGCCGTGTTTTGTCAGTTGTGCCTGTTTGAAGGTGCCAGGCCAGCGTGCGTTGGTGCGTTCCCGTTAAGTTGCCAGGGCACCATATTTGTAACGGCGTTCCCGTTTTGCTGTTGTGGGGCTGTGTTTGTATCGGTGTGTTCCCGTTGAAGTTGACGGGGCACCACGTTAGTGGATTGTGCCTGTTTGAAGTTGCCAGGCCAATCCTGTAACGCACACCCGTTTGCTGATAATTGGGGACATGTTTGTCCATTTGGCTCGAGATTCACATGGCTGCGCCAGTTGCCTTGTGCGGATTAGACTGTTATCTGGCACTAGTCTTGATCTGTTATATTCAGATTCAGATCAGCTATTGTTCCTATACGAGAAAATCTGTGGGAGCACATTCAATTCATTTGCAGATTTGCGTGCTTCTCCTGCAACGGGCGTTTACATGGTACATGGTGTGTGGGCGTATGTGTGGTGTGTTCCTGCTGTACAGGCCAGTATTGCCAAGCACTGGGGACCTTTGGCAATCTGAAGAATGTTTTGTCCGAGAATCGATCCTTGGATCTGTGGCGTTGCAGTTGTGGTGCTCCCGACCCTCTTGCGCGATGGCCGCGGAGACTTGGCGAAAAGGTTCGAGACATACGGCATCTCAATATCTTCCACCACAATCAGTACATCAGCACCACCATCGAGCGTAGCGACATCAGCAATAGAAGACGCACATGATATCATTCCCCCTTAGCGAAGACCTGGGAATACCTGAGAAGATGTTAGCCTCGACTTTACTGGAAAAGTCGTCGGTGACAACGGCACTCCATATTTTATCTGCATGCAGATAGGTCTCTCAACAAGTGTACCCAACAAGTGTACCCAAAGTTTTCAAGCTAATACACAAGCAAATTCACTAGGGTCCGAGTATATTTTCCTACACCTCTCCCAGTTTGTTGTTGTTATTTCTGCATTCAAATTGTTTGTGTACCTGTACATTTATTACAGTAGAGCCACGCATCCACGACTGTTGTTTCCAAGGGGTCAGGCTCGTCAGTTATACAAGACCTTTCAGCAATCTGGCCTTAGGCTTAGTTCCTTGACTTCTTGTACCACTTTCTTAGATGCACATCCCACTGGATAGTGAGCAATACGTGTGTAGCAGAATCTGTATTCCAGAAAAGCAGAGACTCGTCGAGTCTATTGACACTGCGTTTCTTTTTAAAACGTTATTGGCTGTGGTGTTCCTAGAGGTATACACGTACATTCCTGGGTCACGGTCTGTGACGCCCGACTGTATTCGTGGTGCATCAACAATTTTTAATTTTGTGCACTCGTGAACCTGCCTGAGGCTGTGAGGCTGCAGAGTGTTGCCTGTGTTTTGCTTAAGAAAAACCATCAGGTCTCCCCAGATTTTCTAGTCTGGCCCTGAATTTTGCCACTCTTCGGTTTCAAAACCTAGTGTGGTGGAAAGCCTAGCAGTGTTGTGTGTGTGCATGTGTGTATTTTGTACAGTGCTGGCCAGAGAAATCCAACCTCGTTAATAAAGTAGTGCCGCGTTCGAGAGCACAGACCGGTCCAGTATGTACATGTATACTACTAGGGCTGCGTATTGCCCGGCGCAATTTTATTCATAAGGTTGGATTTCTTTGGCCAGCACTGTAGTTAGAAGTAGGTCCTCTAAGGTCCTGTTTGTGCGCACTTGTGGTCACAGTGGCAGTAGTGAAGTGGGTGAGGGGTAGACTCGGTTACTACGAAGATGGCGTATACATGATGGTGTATACAGTCATGTAGTTGAATATTACTTCTCGGGCTTAGACCCAGAGGTTCTTGCAATGATGACCCCGGGTTTATGTACATGTATCATTCAGCTACCGTTGTCATAATGGCACTAGTTGATAGAACACCTGTATATGTACAGGCTGTACATCTAGCATTTTCCAAAATAGCACTCCGTACTTCGAGGCTGCAGCCGTTTTGCATGCAACGTTGTATGTGTTGATCGGTTGACAGCATGTGACAAAGCCGAGGACACACTAGTGTATCAGGAGCACTGTTTTCTTACACAGTGCGTCCCCTGCCTTGTAACATGCTGTCAACCGATCAACATGTTAATTTATCAAACAAGGCTTACCTATACCAACATTATACATGTAGGGCTGTGCATGCTTTCAAAATTCTTCCTTGTTGAAGTAGAATATCGTGCTCGTGGGGGCTTTAGTAGTTCCTTTGCCAGATGTTCTATGCTTATCTCAATGACATCAGTTTCAGCACTCGGGCAAGGCACATTCGGGCCTACACATGTAGCCTTGAATTCTGGCTTGGAGGCATTATTTATCTATTTTCATGGCTGCTAGGTTCATCCTTAGTTGAGAGTTATTTCTCCGTGATTCGCTGATGAGTCCACAAAGGACGAAACAGCTAGACAGTACTAGTGCTGTCCCCAGGTCGTGTATTCTAAATCCATAATACTGACGCTCAATCTCCGGACAGCTGTTTAAACCTTTTTAGGTCTCATCAGTGGAGCTCAGAGCGGGAGGTTAAACAAATGGCAAAACGGTCTATATGAAATGAACAAAAAAAGCAATTTGAAAATGGCTCAAAGCATCAAAGTCAGCGAAAATGGCTCAAAGCATCAAAGTCAGCGAGCTATCTGCAAGACACGTACAAAGAGAGCTTTGCACGAAGGCAGATACATATTACATATACCTTTGACACTAACCAAAAGGAGTGCTCAATCAAGTCAACGCAAGGCAGCGTAATGCGGTGATTGAGTCTATAAAAAGCTATAGTGACATGTAGCCAGGCCCCCAGCACAATAAGCTGACTTGCATCATGCTAAAATCGTTCACACTAATCTCTTATAATAATTATTATATAGATTGCAGGATAGGGTGGTTGCACCAGGAAGTGCTGTCTCTGCGATAGTGGGACCAGTCAAGATTGCAGTACAGTCGTCCACCATCAATCCAGCACTTCATTGGCCAACTCCCTCGATACACCAGCATGATTTCCGGAGTTATTACCATTCATCGACACATGCCCCCCCCAGTTCTTCGGCACCAGACCCGAGTTCTATTTGGGCCGCACTACTTTGTAGCAGTCATACTATAGTACTAGAACTGGATGCACGTGATATCCACTGGAATTGGCGCTGGCCATGAGCTGACCCACCGCCGTGCCTCCCAGTGTCAATTTTGCTTATGTGATCCTACCACAATCTGGAACATTATCAGTACTCGCCTCTGTTGACTTGCCAGCACTAGTTCTGGTGGATCCGGGCATGTTTCTGCCTTCTCTTCAGCATGTATTCTCCTGCAGGTGCATCTTTCACCTCCTTCTAATGCGCGAGCACATTTTCTGTGGAGATTCAACGACACATACACCAGAAAATACAGAACAGAACAGTGGCTGCCAATGCGACACAAGTACCACATAGACCTAAAAACTCATAAGCACCCTGGGAGTTAGATGCATTTACGGGCAGTATGCTAGGATTTGCGCAGCGATTTTAAAATCAGATTAGCAATGCTGTGTGCTACCTAGGCGGCATCTTGGACTCAAAATCCAACCGATTGTGGTCCAACCCAACCGACTCGTCGGTGGATTCCGATTGGCAGGTGTTGGATGGACGTATGATCCATGCGTCCCCACAAGCAATGAGAAGTTAACAATGCCACTAAGGATATAATATCGCGGACAGCAGTACAATGAAACTGGGCCATTCATTATCAGCAATATCAGGGGTATATCCCATCCGATAAGACGTACAGCTCGTGTATGGCGGACTTTACAGCAGGTCCCGACATAGCTTGCCCCAAAGAGTTGGTGGACAAGCCGTTGATTATTCACTCTCATTGTAATATCAAAAAGTATTCTTTCTAGACCAAAGAGTGGTATATTTGATAACATTTAATAACGATAGAAATTTTTACGATACTTCTCCAGACGTTTCGTTGTTCTGAACAACATCGTCAGTGGATAAACTTTCTTTATCCACTGACGATGTTGTTCAGAACAACGAAACGTCTGGAGAAGTATCGTAAAAATTTCTATCGTTATTAAATGTTATCAAATATACCACTCTTTGGTCTAGAAAGAATACTTTTTGATATAGCTTGCCCCGTGCCCTTTACTACTCCTGGGCCAAAACTGTTGTACAATATTCGAGAGGGTCTAGCCTAGTGAGTGTGAACAGAACCAGGCAAACCATATCTCCAAGTGATTCACATGTTGGTATATTCTCCGTTATCATACATCAATTCCGAGCAATTTGACACCCGAATATTCTCGCACCACTACTGCTGAAGTATTGACCACAAACCATGTTCCATTTGACTTACAAAAGGAACTTGCAAAAGGCATGAGAGCACTGGAATCTGTAAAGACTCTCGCATTATTAGCCACCATACATACCTTTCGGGAAGTCGTGTTGGAAGCAGAATGCTCGGAGAGCAGAGCTGAGTGAGATCTGCATACAGTAACACAGCGACAATGAATCACATGAACAGAAGGTATCCGTACACATCTGAATATGCGCTTATGGGAGGAAAATCCGTGCGACAAAAGAGGACCGTGCTATGCAGGTGTATGTCTTACCCGGGTAGGTACTAAGTGAGTTCCACCGTACGTATATAATTTTTGCGAGCTCGCAAAAATAAGTTAACACAGAAGGCGCATGCGCCGCGCCGGACACTTCACAGTTGGCTTCCTGCTCAGATTTGCATGGCTGACTGGTGACTCTCTTCAAAGCCCACCCTCCCATGCCCTCTGCTTCTTTTCTGCTGTGCTGCATCATGCTGAGGCACATCTTCACTTTCCTCTTGGTATCACAATAACCAACATTCAATATCACATCTCTTCAGTTTAAATAACTGAATAAAGAGGGGAGTCAATCTCGCTCACCAGGCTCATCCTGCCAGTGCGGCTCACATAGCCCACCCGGCTCTCAAAAGATGCGACAGGGTCGGACGGCAACATAAATATGCGGCCAGGGTCACTCACCCTGCTGCCACTAAAAATAATACTCACTGCGAGCCTGGCAAACAGCGATTGACAAACCACTCCTATCCCCACAACTCAATGCTCTCAATGCTGTGTAGTGTGCGTGCAGATGGGTGTGTTAAGTATATAATTTTATTGCAATTGAATCACTTGACTGACTGGAGGCAAAAATATCAATTGGCACTTACTCCGGTTACCCGAATGTTTCGGTACCACTATCATTAGGTTTGTTGCAATCGAACCAAGTCATAGTTGAGTCATTTTCAATGCGTTAGGTGTTACCCGACGTGCCCAATGCATCAGCCGCTATGTCAGATTCCACCAGGCATGCACCAAACCAGGCGCAATGCGCACACTGATGATGGTGGTTGTCACACAACGAGCAGTAGTAAAAGTGAAAGGACTTCTTGCATGTGATTTTGTTGTAATTTGTGCCAGTCGAATTGTCTCAGTGTAACTAGTTTATCGTTAGCTTACTGGTTTGTTTATACACAAGAAAAAGACCAAGGAACTACAAGTTACGCTATACTGTCCACTAACACCACCAGTTACTAAACAATCAGCTCATGCGATAACATTGCACGACACTGAACAGCTCTAGCACATCTTGGATGCGCACTCCAACAGCCTTGTGGACGACGACCGTCACTGGAGAATCGGTCCGTCGCTCCACCAGCCCGGCGGCACAGTGGACAGTGCCTTGGGGGTGTCAGCCAAGGTCGTGGTGGAGACGGAAATGATGTTTGCAAGGAAGAGTGATGATATGCGTATGTGCTCTCCGCCAGTTGTTGAAGCAACAGTCCGGCAGTGGAAAGTCGGCAAGGTTAAGATAAGTGACCAACTGGGTGAAAGTACACCAAATGTGGCCCATCTCTTGAATGGTGCGGACCACGGCAAGGACCTGAAGTTGAAGGTCGTCAATGGCAACACCGCATGGTCGACGTCAATGGGAACATCAAGCCACCAAGTTGGTGGAACTATGTAATGTCCGTCGCAGGATGCAGCGACAGGGTAACGTGCTCAGGGAAGAGTACAGCGACGATGATCAGCTGTGTCTGGCACGCAGTCGTATTGATCGTGGCGTGCAGAACACCGGAGTCAGTTGCGGTATTCGTACATTTGTCTGTTTAGGATTGTGATCCCCAGGAAGTCCTTTGGTGAGGAGTGATGTCACGCAACGAGCAGTAGTCAAAGTGAAAGGACTTCTTGCATGTGATTTTGTTGTAATTTTGTAAGGTGTGGTGGCAGCACTTTCAGCTGGTAGTGGGTGATGGGCTGGCGGCGTGACAACAATTACGGGCTTGACGAACGACATAATTATGGCGAGTCGATCTTTGGCCAGTTGCCGAGTTGTAGATCGTCACCGTAGACCCAGAGGTCTGGTCCACGATCCAGGGGTTGGGATCCCA